GCCCAGCTGTGGCCGCTAATGAATTCCCCAGCACTGATGGAAGGGGCCTGGGCTCAGCCCCACATGGGGGGCTCAGGGCTGGGGGTTGGGGCCGTGCTGCCATCTCCATGCGACTCTCGTCTCCCGGGTCACCACACGACACCCACAGCCATGTCTGCACCCTGCAGTGCAGTGCTTCCAACCCCCAGCTGCCTGCTTTGCCCCCAGCTCTCACTGCCTGCACTGTGCACATGTGATGCCATGCACGCGTGCTGCCTGGCCCCAGGCTGGCTGTGCAGAGCACAGTTGGTGTGCACGTGTGCGTGCAAGGTGCTGCCTTTCCTCCATGCACACGCCTGCATGTGTCTCCATGTTTGCACGCCCTGCTACTCGCTGCGTGCATGCATGCACACCCAGCATCCCAAACCTGCTTGCTGGGAGCGAACGGTGCACCCAAAGGATGCGTCCCTCATCCCCATAGCGACAGCTGGGTTGTCCTTTTCTAATCCTGTTGCAGGCCCTGCTTGCAAGGGGGCCTGGTGCACCCCTAAATGAAGCGAGGTGCCCGCAGCACCCTGGCAGTGCTGGGCAGAGCCCGTCTGCAGCTCAGCCCTAACAGAAGCAGCCTCACTTGGCAGTGAAGGGGTTAAAGGGCGCAGTGTGGCCCAGCATGGCTGCAGGCTGTGGGGAGGGCATCGATTTGATGTTAATGCCATGCTCCATCGAGCGGTGAGCAGTGGGTGGAGGGACAGCCACCAGCCCCGGGGTGGGGAGGGCAGAGGACAGCAACCAGATGGGGGCTATGAGGTGACCCCTCCCCGCCACCCAGACCCCTGTGGCATCTTCTGGAGGGGAAGGAAAAGAGCTCGGCGTCACCTCCTGTCCCCACGTCCCACGGAAGCGTGGCACCGTGTCTCCCCAGTGTTCCTCAGGGTCGCCATCTCCCCTGGACCTCCTGGATGTGCCGCCCTGCTCTGGGCTGAGAGGGGGGGTGTTGGGTTGGACCAAGGCTGCCCACGCCGTGCCAAGCGATGGGCGCAGGTGTGAGATGGCTGCAGATGGCCAACACTGCAGCCCTGGCACAACGAAGCTGCCACCAACCCCCACCATGGGGACCCTCACCCAAAGCTGCCGCCACCGAGAGCTGCTGGGAAGGATCCTTCCCCACCCAGCGCAGCGCTGGGGGTGGGGGTGGCTTCGTCCCCTTAAGAGCTGAGCTCCCCAGGGACGGCAGCACGCAGTGCTCCCAGGTCATGGAGCAGATCCGCGTCCCTGCGGAGGCGATGACCAGACAACAGTGGAGAGTGGCCAAGAACGCAACGCGAGGCTTGGCCGGGTGCAGCAGCGCTGCTCCAGCACTATGGGAGCCGTGCCCACAGGGGAAACCGAGGCACGGAGGGACCCATCTGCAGTCGCCCCACGGCTCAGCAGCAGGCGCTGGGAGGGGACGTGTTTTTCCATGGATGGAGTGGAGGAACAGCCACACACCGGCCTGTGACCGCAGCTGGGGAGCACGCCAGGCTGTGCGCAGCTGCTCGCCTCCTGCCTGCGTTAATGACGTGGCCTCCCTGTCCCCACCTCTCCCCACAGCTTCGGCTCTCCAGCCTCACGGCCCCGGTCGATGGGGAGGGATTGGGGGCGTGAGGTGGGATGTGGGGAGCGAAGCAAAGCACGGGGATGTTTGGGGCTGTGGGGTGTCAGGGGGGGCCGGGTGACGCTCAGCAGTGTTGGCAGCTGAGCCAAACCCGGGGTGGTTTCGCTGCCTGGGGAACGCCCTGCTCTGCCATTTCGGGGGTGGTTGAGTCTCTTCCGCTGCGGTGATGGGGGCAAAATCAGGACGGCCTCACAGCCGGAAGCCCCCAGCCTCAACTGGAGCTGTGGAACCCGCAGTGCTCTCCAGAGACAGCTCCCACATCTCTGCAAAGCCCCTCTCGCCGTCCCCTCTTGCGCCCACCTCGCTGTCCCCAAACCTCCCCCGACCCCCCAGGGTCTCTCCTCGGCGACCTGGCGCTGGCTTCGGGAGTCCCAAGTGCTGCCACCGGCCAAAACTGCGGGAGGACAAACACTGCACGGGGACAAGGGGTCACCCGCCGCACCGATGTTCTATAGGGCTGGGGAGGGGGCTCAGAAACCGGGACAGCCGCCCTCCGCCACAACACGAGGACACCCCCACGGCGCGGGGACGCGGGGACAGCGGTGGCCCGGCGCGGCGCGGCAGCCGCTAGATGGTAGCGTAAGCCCAAGGCTCCGCTGCTGACACAGCACTGTCTGCGGGAGGGACAACGCGTCCGGGTGACCCGGGTGGCCCTGGGGAGCCGCCTCCCTCCCCCACTCCGCAGCCAGGAGGAGCCACGCGCGACGCTGCGACGCGAGCGGTGTGGGCGCCGCTCTCCTTCCCGACGACCCCCAGCACGGCCCACATCCGCGGCTCTGGACCCCGCTCCATCCCCGCCCCCCCCCCCGCCCAGCATCCTCCCTCCTCCCAGCCCAACCCCAACCACAGACCCCCGGGTGACCCACGTGTCCCGGATGGACGTAGGAGTGCTGCCCCCCCCCGCGGATCCGGGCAGAGCCCACCCGTGGGGACCCCCCTCCTTCCTCCCCTCCACTCCCAGCCCAATGAGGGCTCCGTGCCAGACTGATATCTATATATATTTTATGATAACTATAGAGATGCACTTCAAACCTGACAAAGGACTTTGACAGTTTTAAGCATCTCTTTGATTAATACATGACCTTTTAATGCTTCGGATTAAATTAATAAATCTTTTACATTCCAACCCATCCTTGCTTGCAACGTTTTCCATGCGACCTTCTGTGCAAAGCAGCCGACCCGACCCTCCGTCCCAATGCACGTGCAGGGCAGGAGAAGCAGCACATGAGGCAGGTACAGCAGCATATATGGGGCAGGTACAGCACTATCTATGGGGCAGGTACAGCACTACATATGGGGCAGGTACAGCAGTGCACATAGGGGCAGGTGCAGCGATAGACGGCCTTGCAATGTTCACACGGTGCAAAACACGGCGAGGCGAGGACTCAGGGATCCTCCTCGTGTCGGAATCATCCCTAAAAATAGCAAGAAAATTCAAAGCTGACATTCAGGGCGAGGGGATGAGGAAGCCTGCAAAGTTGCTCACTCAGCCACCAGCGATTGCAGCGATCCTGTCTGCGTGTGCAGATTCCTCTGCTGACCGGGCTGGAGCGCAGGGCTGCTCCTCTCCGCGTGGTTTCCAGGAGGTGGGAATGATGCGTGCGGGTCCCTGTCCTCTCTCCGTCCCCCATCCCTGTGACTCCCATCCCGTTGGGGTGCAGGGATGGAGCTGATGGATTTGGAGATGTGATAATTCCCTGCTGGAGGGTTTGCTCACCCCCTTCCCCTGCCCGGTTTGGGGTCACTGCACGGCAAACCCCGACCCTGAAGGCAGAGGGCTGCTGTGCAGTTGGGTGCTGTGTCTCTCCCTGCACCCATGTGTTGTTCCGGCAGTGACTCACGTGTTATTAGCAGCCAGGCAATATTCCCAATTCCCTGGAGTTAACCCTTTGCTTGTCACTCACACAAACGGTGTCACAACAAACAGCAGCGGCGTTATCTGCTTTAATGAGATCGGATCTGCCGGGCTCTGGGAACAGCGCTGGAGGGGAAGCAATGGGGGGATATTTGGGGGATGGAAATCAGGGGGGTGAGGGGCTGGGGGACAGCCCACTGCTGTGCCACCCTGGGGGCTTTGGGCAATGCTCAGCTCACCAGTGCCAAGGATGAGGGGATCCTCGTGCGTCCCATGCATGGAAGATTAGGAGGAATTTCTTCCCAGACAGAGTGGTGGTGTGTTGGTAGAGCGGAGCTGGGACAGCTGCCCCGGGGGCTGCGGGGTGTCACTGCCCCTGGGGTGTTCCAGAACCACGGATGTGGCACTTAGGACAGCGGGCAGCACTGCTGGGGATGGGTTTGGGTTGGACCTGGTGGTCTTGGAGATCTTTTCCAACCCCAACGGTTCTGCGCTTCCAGGAGTTAGGAAACAGCGGGGAAGTTTCCCGCACCGCCAGACCCTTGGGACAGCATCTAAGTTAAAATAATAATAATAATGGTAATAATGATGATGATGATGATGATTGGGTGATTTAAAAATTAGGGAAAAAAAAAAAAAAGGAAAAGGGTGCGCGCATGGGGCAGATGTGCGCTCCGCGTTGTGCGGGTGCAACCCAGGAGAGGGCAGCAATGCCTCGCACATCCCGCTGGGGAGGGGGGGGGGAGGGGGGGAATCCCGGGGGTGCAGAGCACCCGAAGGGGGGGGAATCACCCACCCACCCACCACCCCACCGCTTAGAACCCCCCTCCCAAAATCGAGCGCAAAAGCCGCGCACCCATTTGCGCCCTTCCCCGCCTCCTCTGCGCGCTTCGCAGCAACGGGGAGGAGAAAAGCGAGGCGGGGGGAGGAAAGGAAGGAGGGAAGGAGCAGAAGGGGGGGGGGGGGGGGAGAGGAAGGACTACAAGGCCCGGCATGCCCCGGCGGTGCTGCGCGGCTCCCCGGGGTGCCGGATGCTGGCCGTGCCGCTGACAGCGGAGCGGAGCGCGGTCCCCGCCGCGCACGGAGAGGGCAGGGCGCGCCGAGCCGCCGGCTGCGCTCCCCCCGCTCCCAGCCCCCACAAAGCCGGGAGCGGCAGAAGGCAAGAGCGAGGGAGGAGGAGGAGGAGGTGGAGGAGGAGGAGGAGGAGGAGGAGGAAGGGGGGAGGCAGCGGCAAGCAGGGCTCTGCTGCGCTGTGTCTTTCTTTGCTTTCCGCAGGCGGCTGAGCGGCGGAGGCGCAGAGGGGAGGTCGGTTCCCCTCCGCCTCGCGCTCCGCTGCCTTTTGTGTGTGTGC